TGTCATTAAATCACAAGGTAGTGGTTTTGTTATTGTCTACACTTGGAATAGGAAAGAAGAGTTGATTAGAAACTTAGGGTGAGAGAGGAAAAAAAAAATTGCTGGTGGGTTAATTTTGAGTCAAGAATTTTTTAAGTTCCCAGATAGGAAAATCCAGAACCAGTTCAAACTAACTGCTATCAAGTTGATTCCGACTCACAGCAACCCCCATTGGATTTCCAAGGCTGTAAACCTTTAAGGGGGAGCTCTGGTAGCATAGTGGCTAAGGCACTTGACTGCTAACCAGAAGGCTGGCGGTTCAAACCCACCAGCCACTCCTCGGAAGGAAGGTTGGGCAATCCTACTTCTGTAGTGATACTGCCTCGGAAACCCAAGGAGGGGCCGCTATGAGTCAGGGCTGACTCAGTGGCACATAACAACAACAACAACAAACCTTTAAGGAAGCAGGCTGCCTCTTCTTTCTTTTTAGAGAAGCTGGTGGGTTTGAACCACCAACTTTTTGGTTAGCAGCCAAGTGCCTTAACCACTATACCACAAGAGCTCCTCAGATAAGAAAAGGCCTCCTGAAATAAAATATCTAATTTTAATACAAATTAGATTCCACATCTGCAACATTGTCTTCATGTATTTATTTTGAAATCTCTTGGGAGTTCTGGTAGCATAGCACCTAAGGCACTTGACTGCTAACTGGAAGGCTGGTGGTTCAAACCCACTAGTCACTCCTTGGAAGAACTGTTGGGCAATCTACTTCCATAGTGATTCTACCTCAGAAACCCAAGGAGAGGTCACTATGAGTCAGATCTTACTCGACAGCAATGAGTTTGCTTTTTGGACTATATAAGAGTCACCTACTGTCTTTTGTTAAATATATGTATATATTTATTTGTGTTTAATGTACTGCTTTCTAAAGATAATAAAATAACATGGTTTAATAATAAGAAACATACATAAATATACGGGAGCTCTGATAGTGTAGTGCCTAAGGCACTTGACTGCTGACCAGAAGGCTGGCAGTTCAAACCCACCAGCCACTACTCGGAAGGAAGATGGGGCAATCTACTTCCGTAGTGATACTGCCTCGGAAACCCAAGGAGAGGTCGCTATGAGTCGGGTCCAACTCGAGGGCACATAACAACAACAACAACATAAATATACCAAGGAATAATTCTCTTTGTCATATTTCCCCTCTGTTTAATTCCTCAGTGCTTCCATTCTAAGTAACCACTATTTAAAAATATTTGTAAATACTTCCAGATTTTCTTTATGCATGTGCAAGCAAATACTGATATATATTCTTCTTATTATTATTTTACAAAGAGAGGCACATTTTATGCATTGCTTAACACCTAGCTTTTTCACTTACCAGTATATCTTATCAGTATGTACATAGCTTTTTCATTCCTTTTTGCAGTCACAGAAGATCCCATTGTGCAGATTTACCATAATTTACTTAACCATACCCCTGCAGATGGACATGTAGGTTGTTCCTAATCTATTCTATTACAAACAGCTCTGTAATGGCTAATCTTATATCACTTCATACATGTGCAAAGATATCTATAGAATAAATTCCCAGAAGTGACATTATCAGGTCAAAAGGTTGTAACATTGATGTTGTTGTTGTTGTTGTTGTTATGTGCCGTCAAGTCAGACCTGACTCATAGCGACCCCTCCTTGGGTTTCCAAGGCAGTATCTCTACGGAAGTAGATTGCCCCATCTTCCTTCCGAGGAATGGCTGGTGGGTTTGAACCGCCAGCCTTCTGGTTAGCAGTCAAGTGCCTTAGGCACTCACTATGCCACCAGAGCTCCTGTAACATTGATAGTTATTAGCAAATTATTCTCTGTCAAGTAGGATTTACTTCCCTCCCAGCCATATTTAGAGTGCCTGATTCTCTACATTCTTGCCAAATAAGTGCTTTGTGTAGCATTGGATTTTTGCCATATGTGAGAAAGGAATTTCAGTAAAGTTTTAACTTGGGTACTTTGTTCTTGAAGATGCTTCAGCATGTTCTGGGTAAAAACTCTCTGTTTATATTGTTGTTGTTGTTGTTAAGTGCTGTCGAGTTGGACTCCACTCATAGTGACCCCTCCTTGGGTTTCCAAGATGATATCACTACGGAAGTAGATTGCCTACCCTTCCTTCTGAGGAGTGGCTGGTGGGTTTGAACCGCCAACCTTCTGGTTAGCAGTCAAGTGCCTGAGGCACTATGCTACCAGAGATCCTTCTGTTTATATTACTTACTTTAATATTGGGCAGCTGGTCTTATTCTTGTGGATTTCTGGTAATTCTTTCTGTGCTGGGAATATAGTTCCTCTTGGTAATTGTACATACATGGCTGGAACCTGTGTCTGAGGACAAGGGATGCTAAAGGGGCTCAGAGGGGGATGTTTGAGCCAATAATATAGTATACATTTGAGATAAGACCTGTGACCATTCGAGAAAGGTTATGGACTCCACCCCCATACCCTTCCACCCCCAGATAGTCACAAGGGAAAATCTCACAGGAGAACAGTCTGCATTTTCAGCTTTCATGTTTGATCTTCACTAACTGTTACCTAGAGCAAGTCATTAGCATCTCGAACTCTTGGTTTTCTTGCCTGTATAAAAGGCTTATCACCCACATCACTTTGAGTTATCCTGAACAATATATATAAAGAATCTGATACTGCATGTATTACACAGGGTCAGGTAATTGGAAAGATTTACAGGACTGCCTAGGGTGAACTCACATAACTCAAACAAAACAAAATTCTCTGCCATTGAGTTGCTCCTGACTCATAGCAAACCCCCCTCCCCCCGCCTTAAGCTTCTGAGGTGGTATCTCTACAGAGCAGATTGCCCAGTCTTCTTTCTGTGGAGTTGCTGGTGGGTTTGAACCTCCAGCCTTCTGTTTAGCAGTCAAATGCCTTAAACACTATGCCACCAGATAAATAATGTACAGTAGAAGAAAGCCATGCAGTCATGGGAGACCTGTAAAAACCTAAATTGCTTAGAGAAACACCAAAAATTCATGTAATAGAATACATTTATTATTGGAAGATATACTTCAAATTGGGTAGCATCGCCTAAACATCTAGGGAAGGCATTCTGAAGAGGGGACAGGGAAAATGGATTATATAGGTCATTGCTATGTTAATTTCTCAGAAGATAACATCAAAACTCATTGCAGAGGGGTCCTCCAGTTGGATCTCATGCATAGTGACCCCTCCTTGGGTTTCCAAGGCTGTATCACTACAGAAATAGATAACCCAATCTTCCTTCTGAGGAGGGGCTGGTGGGTTTGAACTGCCAGCCTTCTGGTTAGCAGTCTAATACCTTAGGTACTACTCCACAAGAGCTCCCTACATCAAAGCACTTGGCAAGTTAGAATCAGTCACGAAGACATGGCATATGTCCTAAAGCAGTCTCAAGTCAGACACTGGAATTCCTGCATCTCAAATCTGGCTGCACATACATAATTTTCCAAAGAAACCCAGTGCATAAGGCAAAACCCTCTCCTCTAATTTGTTCACTAAGCTATTGTTTGACCTAAAGATGATTCCAGGAGACCAGTTTTTCCAAGGTTCAAAAGGACACCTAATGTAAGGTTGTAGTCACTTCTTGGTCACAGCCAGTTACCCACAGGGACCGAGTAGTTGAACCTGTGGGCTCAGGACCATAGTCACAGGGGACATCAAGCTCAATTGGCACAACATACTACACAAAACATTGTTCCACCTCCTACTTTGGTGAGTAGCTACTGGGATCTTAAAAGCTAGCAAGCAGCCATCTAGATGCAATGATGGGTCTCCTCATCCAGAGCAAAGAAGAATGAAGAAAACCAGAGATTCATGGAAACAATTAGTCCTAGCAATTGGTACATCATCCGATCTGTAGCCTATATGACTATGAGACCAGAAGAACTAGATGGTGCCCAGCTACCACTGTCATCCACTTGGAGGGGGATCTATGTAGGAGATCCTGGATAGAGAGGGAGAACAATGTGGAACAAAACTCAAAATCATTTGGAGAAAATAAAAGGGGGGGTAGGGAGACCAGGTTTGCTGGTCTGATAGAGCCTGGTGGAACCACTGAGACTACAGCCCCTAGCTGCCCTTCAGGTCTGGAATGGAACCCACACCTGAAAGACAGGCATATGAGTTGAACATTTACCTGAGGTAGATACACTCCTTGGAGAGAACAATCATGGGAGAAAGAAGGGCTGTTTATGCACAGGGAGACAGCTCAGGGAGACAGCTCAGGAGACTACATCTGTAGTGATATTGCCTTGGAAACCCAAGGAGGGGTCGCTATGAGTGGAGTCCAACTCGACAGCACTTAACAACAACAACAATATAAACAGAGAGTTTTTACCCAGAACATTCTGAAGCATCTTCAAGAATGAAGTACCCAAGTTAAAACTTTACTGAAATTCCATTCTCACATATCAGAAATGCACCTCATGAGTGCATGGGGGAATGGACACAGGGAAGAGTTAACTATTGGGAGGAAGTGGGAGGGGAGCTGTTGCATTGTGGTAAATTGTAGTCATTGTCATGAGACAAAGTGTATGTGAACTGCTGTATAGAATGTGAATTTTCTTGGTAAATTTTCACCCAAATCGCAATAAAAGTATATGTATATATATATATTTTAAAAGGGACACCTAAGGGTGGATGGCCTGAGTTCATCATCCATTTCCACGAACCCAGAAATCTGGATTCCAGGAGAATCAAAATGATTTTGTCAGACCTGAGAGACTTCAGTCCAACTTCCCCAGGTTGCATAGGAGGCTCTTTGTCTTTGGTTTAAACCACAAAGACAACTAGTCTTCTTGGTCCAAGGTCAGTAACAGACTTCCAGAGGTCCCAGGAGGTAAACATGGAGTGACTTTAGTCCAGGAATAAGGTGATCCTACCTTATGCAAGTACCCAGGGAGTACCCTTAAACTACTACTTACTTTTCCTTTCCCCTTTGGAGCAATGCATTTGACTTCACCAGCATATTTTTCTTCTGCAGCTCAGGTGAGACTGTCACCAGTGTGACTAGCTTAGCCCCACTGCAGCCCAAGAAGGGCAAGAGGCGGAAGGAGAAGGCTGATGTTCCTCCTGCAGTCCCAGCCAAAGGTAGGAAATTAGCTAACACTTTCCCACTTGGAGGCCACCGTAATTGATCCAGGGGTATCTGGTCTTGATCAGTGATCAGGTTGGAAGCAATAGATGGTTGGAGGGCATGGTATCTGGTGATTATATAATCTGAGACCCCCACCAAGATGCTGAACATATGGTGCTCAACAATCTCAGCCCTTCAGCCCTGTCCCTGGATGGGGCTAGGTGTGGTACCAGCAACGCTTCAGCAGTCAGAAGGATCACTATCTACAGAACTGAATCTTCATGGTATTACCTGTGAGCTATTAAAATGCTCTATCTATGGTGGGGTGAGGCAGGGGTGTCAGCATCATCTTGGTCTATTCAAGAGAAAATAGGCTCTCTGGTTTTGTAAAAATGCAAACCTGGTATGCAATTTACTTTGGATTCATCCTGGGAAGAAAATGAGGGTTACTCTGTGACTCTGGCAATCATGTAGAGAAACCTAAGTGTTTCTGGCAGAGGGAACTGCTCAAGAGAACTAATGCTTGTCCACAGATAGTTCCTAAAATGACAGTATTCAGTTTTAGAGCAGTTCATGCCTCAAACAATTTGAAATATAGTGGAGAGTTCCAGGAATTCCCAGATGCACAATTTAATAACAAGACACAATAAATGTCATCCCTGAATTGTAGCTTAACAGGAGGTCCTCCAGGAACTATTGGAGTCCCATGGTGATAAAGGCTGATGCATGCTGTGGGAAAGAAGGGTCTGGAAGGTATGGAAATGCTAGGGAAGCATGGGAAGTGCAGATCCAGGGAGGGAAGGGAGCAGGGAACACTGCTCTGGGTCAGCATTACACTGCTCTATTGTCTCATTCAATCCAGAGTACATATTTCCTTATTTTACAAAAGATGAAAATGGGACCTAAAGACTTAAAGGATGGTGCATGCTTTGAAATGAGGTTGCCTGACTTGCCTGGGCAAGTTCAAGTTCCAACTCATCTAAGTACTAGCTATATGACTTTGTGAAAAGAGCCTCAGTTTCCTCCTTTATTAAATGAGCACAACAAGACCTGCCCTGATTAACGTACAGGGCTATTGTGAGACTCAAAAATCACTGCTTTTGATGGTATTAGTGTGCAATCAGGAAGGAGCCTTTCAGGGAAAACCTGGCCTCAGCCCTTGCTCAGGCCTGACCTCCTTATATCTTGCAGTGTTTTTGTTGAATTGTTCTGTTGGCTTTGCTGAGGGGAGATGATGAGACATCAAGACTAGGGGAGGACTGCCCTCCTGAGGGACTCCCAGTGGTGTAGAGGTCAGATACTGGAGTTCTTCCATGGGGACAGAAAGGGGTCTGCAAGTCTCCAAGAGAGTTGCATAGTGGTTGACAGTCCTGGTTGAGACACCCAAGATAAAGATTTGACCTGTTTCCACAGCTCCAATAGCCACTTCCTTCCATAAACCCAAGCTGCTGAAACCACAGAGGAAAGTTACCCTGGTGAGTAGTCATATTCTCTATTACTATTATTGCCTCAAGGCTTAAGCTTGCTTCATGGTCCAAAGAGTACTTTTATTGATGTAAAACATGATGAAAGTTCTTAGTTCTTTCACCCTAAAGCATTTTAGGTCAACATACGCAATTTTCATAGTGGCTTTTTTTTTTTTTTTTTTTTTAATGCAAATGGACTTTTGAAAATGCTATACTCAGAAATGTGTAAAACAGAAGGTAAACCTGCTTATATAAATTTGCCTCATAATCACTCTGAAGAGACTGGAGAAAAATTTTTTAGAAAATATTTTTGACTTTTTATTTTTAAATGATTTTAGATTTACAAAAGAGTTGTCATGATAGTTCAGAGTCACTGTTTACCCTCACCCAGCTTCCCCTATGCTAATATCCTGCATTAACTATGGTGCATTTGTCAAAACTAAGAAATTAACAAGTGTGCGTTACTACCAATGAGACTCCATACTTCATTAAGATTTCATCAGATTTTCTACTCAAGTCTTTTTTCTGTTCCAGGATCCACACTGCTTCTAGTCATCATGTCTCCTTACTGTCCTCCAATCTGTGACATTTCCCTTTCTTTCATGACCTTGACACTTTTGAAGAGTAATGCTCAGATATTTTGTAGAATGTCCCTTAATTTGGGTTTCTCTGAGGTTTTACTGGCAAAAGACTAGAATGAGGGTGTTGATTTTTGGGAAGAACCACATGGTGGTGATAGTCCCTTCTCATTGCATCACATGGGGGCAATAGTACATCTTATTAATGGTCATAAGAATCTTGACCATGTGGTTAAAGTGGTATCTGCTAGATTTCTTTATTATACAGTTACTATTTCCTTTTCCACACTTTATGTGTTAGAAGCAAGTCACTAAGCCCAGACCCACTCGAGGAAAGGAGAATTAAGTTCTACCTCCAGGAGAGGAGTATCAAAGAATTTGTAGATACAAGTTAAAACTACCACCCACTCATAGCCATTGAGTTGATTGACTCATAGCAACCCCCCACTGGATTTCCAAGGCTATAAATCTTTATAGAAGTAATTTGCCTCATCTTCTTTCCATGGAGCAGCTGGTGGGTTTGAACTGCTAACCTTCTTATTAGCAGCCAAATGCCCTACCCACTAAGCCACCAGAGCTCCTTGAAAACTACCATAGTAATTAATATTTTAAGGCAATGCAAATATCTTGTGTTTCCTTAAATTTTTGCCCAGTAATTTTAGCATTCACTGATGGATTTTACCTGTGACAATTATTACTATGATGCACAAATGGTGATTTCCTATTTCCCTCATTCATTCAGCACTTATTATTTAGAATTTTTCTATAACGAAGAGCTGTACTTTTCCTCATTCATAAATTCAATAATTTCTTTATATCAGTGTGGACATACAGATATTTATTTAATTAATTATAGGTAATTAACTCTTTGAGTTACAATCTGATTATATTGTCATTTACTTTGTTGTTCATATTGTTCTGCAGCTGTGTATGTGAGAGAGAGAGAAAGAGAGAGAGAGAGAGGGAAAGGAACTGGCAAACTGATTTTAAAATGCACAGGTACTGCAAAGGGTCAAGACAGTCTTGAAAGAAAAGAGCAAAGTGAAGGATTTACATACCAATTGCCAAGATTTACATTAATGCTACAGGAGTTGATACAACCACTACTCATTTGTCAGTTTGTCATACTGTGGTGGTTTGGACATTGCTGAGATGCTGTTAGCTATGCCACTGATATTTCAAATACTAGCAAGGTCACCCATGGTAGAAGTTTCATTGGAGCTTTCAGTCTAAGGCATATTAGGAAGAAAAGCCTGGCAATCTACTTCTAAAAGTAAGCTAATGAGGAGGCGGGGCAAGATGGCGGACTAGGCAGAAGGATTGCACAGACCCTCTTCAACAAAGAAAAGGGAAACCAATTAAAACAGACACAGAAGATAATCTTGGACCCCTGAGCCTTGAAGGAAAGGATGCAGATTTGGAATAAACCCCAACTAGCAGAAGAATTTGCGTGAAAAT